ACCTTATGAAATATCTGCCAGGTCTCCAGTGGCTGTCAGGGACCTCCCCAGATATGATCAGGCAGGCCATTGGCTCAAGGGCACATGGGGCCTGCATGAACACTGCATGAACACTGCACAGATTGGACCCTAAAAATTATGTAGTCTCCTCTAGGGTAGAGATTATGTTATTTACATAATAGCCTGAGCTCCCTTCTAAATTCCTTAAAAACCCTCAACAAAGAGACTCTCGTGGGTGTCCTACTCAGAACCCTCTTCTGGCTAGTGGGAGCTTTAGTTCTTTGCCTTAGTATCTTTCACTTCCTTGCCTTTATACCTTTTTTTTTTTTTTTTTTTTTTTAAGACAGGGTCTGGCTATGCAGTCCAGGGTGGCCTTGAACTCATTGCAATCCTCCTGCCTGTGCCTCCTGAGTGCTGGGATTACAGGCCTGTGCCATCAAGCCTGGCAAGTGTCTTTTAAATAAATTTGCTGGCATCTTCCCTCCTTCGTTGCAGTTTCATTCTTTACCACCATCGGACATGACCTGGGAAATGCAGTCTGATGCAACAAGCTAAGCAGTCCCCTGGGTCTCCGTAGGCAGAAACCCTCAGAGCACTGCCTTCCTTCCCAGCTCTCTCCAAGACGGATCTGCAGGAGAAGCTGTGTCTTACTTTCTTCAGTGGTGGCACGTGAGGCTGCCTCTCAGATTCACCAGGGGCCTCTGGAGGTTCCTGGGTCCCCTGCAGGTCCTGCTCTGGCTACCCCTTGAGAGCAGCATGCAGAAGGGCGATGGCCCTGTCCTTGAGTGCTCGGCCGGCAGCTCCTGCTGATGCCTGCAGCCTGTGTAACTCATGGTCTGGGGGCCCCATGCTCCTTCAGGCCTCCTCCTTCGGAGGCTCCCCCTGACCCAGCCTCCAGGGTCCCATCCCTCTCCTTTCAGGGTCCCACAGCAGATGATCTCTGTGTGTTGTGTCACATCCCCTGGCCCCTTCTTGTCCCATGTAGCTGTGGCACACAACTCCATGAATGATGACTTGTCCCTCCCCCCACAAGGGACAATGGCAGTGGCTTCTGCTTTTCCACTCCAGATGTTTCTTGAGGCCAAAGTAGTCCACACAAACCAGGAAGTGAGAGGAGGTCAGCTTGCCCAGGAGCAATCCTCAAGTAGAAGGGAACAAGAGTCAGCCGATAAACGTCCCAGTCCCCTGAGCTTCAGAATGGACAATGCTGAAGCGTATTTTGTACAGTTCCTCAGAGGCCCCCCAAGGAATTGAGCCCCAGTTGCCCAGTAACCCACCCATGAATGCACCCTTATCATCCACTCCTATTCAGTCCCTCATTCCTACTTTCTGGGTCCTTCTCCTGGGTTCTGCTTCTGAGCCAGGCCCCATGAAAGGTGAGGCTCACGATTCAGCTGTGCTCCGTGAAGCTCAAATAATCAAAGGGAAGATGCAGCATCCTGACTTCCTGTCACCCCACCACTTCCTTCCTCTTCTGGAACCCACTAGGACCTGACAGAAAAGTGGTTTTGGGGCTCCTGGTTCTCCTCTGCATGTTCTCTCCCGAGGCACACAGCTGGGCTGTTACCTGGAGGCCAGGCCTACTCTCCACATGTTACAATGACAGCTAAAGGGGTTTAATTATTTCCCTGGCCACGCTCCATGTTCCCCTCACTGTTTTGCTAAAGAGAAGAAGAAGGTCAGCTTTGGTACATCAAGATCATTGGCAGCCTCTTGCTCTCTGGCTCTATGCTGACCCACTCTGGAAGCCATTGATTACATGTGGCTGTTGAGAACTTGAAATGTGGCTGGTGCCCCGACAAACTGCATTTTTAAGTTTATTCATAACTTAAAATAAAATTTATAGCTGGGCATGGTGATATACACCTATAATCCCAGCACTCTGGGAGGCTGAGGCAGAAGGATTCCAAGTTCAAGTCCATCTTGGAGAACGCAGTGACTTAGCAAGACTGTGTCTCAAAATGTAGAGGGAAAAGGGCTGGGGGTGTAGCTCAGTGCAAAAAAAAAAAGTATGCACTGATACTCTCCCAAAAAGGATAAACAAGAGGCAATTTTAGGTAGATGGATGCACCTTTAGACCATAATCTTAAGTGAAATAAACCGGACACACAAGTTTAAATATCACATTGTTTCTCTTGTGTGAGAAACCCCAGAGGGTAAATAAGGAGTGAAATGGAGAATAGATATTAGGAAGTAGGAAGAACTTGTTCAAATGGGAAAGACAGCAAGAGATCGAGGTAAGGGGAAGAAAGGAAGGGAAAGGGGATTTAAGGGAAAAACAGGTTGAAGGACAAAAATGGAAATAGAGTTTTTGGAAGTGGGGAGAAGGGGACAAAAAAAGAATTAAGATGTGTTAGGTATGTGTACAATCCCCCATGATGAACATGATCGTTACATGCTGCAAACATGTACTAATAAAAACCAAAATATATTTTTTAGTGTATACACCAATACTTGATTCAGGTACTGGGAAACTTTTAAGTATGTTTGGAATAACTTACATATGTAAATCTGCTTTGTCAACTAGAAGTTTTATAAAATCTAACTGCAGTTTATGTATTTGGATGCAAGTTTATCATCTGAGCTGAGGTGCAGAAGGAGAAATTATACAATGGATTTTAGCCTTTATATGAAAATAGAATTGGGGCCAGGGATTTAGCACAGTGGTTCTGCTGCTTACCTCAAAAGCGCAAGGTCCCGAGTTTGATCCCTGGTACCAAAAAAAAGAAAATAGAATTAAAATATCTCGTGAATAATTCCTTCATATTGATCACATGTTGAAATGATAGTATTTTTTATATACTGGGTTAAATAAAAAGATTATTAAAATTAATTTCACCTATTTCTGTCTGCCATTTTTACTGTGGCTCCCAGAAAGTTTAAAATTGTACCTGTGGCTCTCATATACAGTTTTTTTTTTGGGGGGGGGTGTTGGTTTTGATTTTTCCTGGGCTGGGAATCAAACCGAGGGCTTTGTGGATGCTAGGCAAGAGTTCTACTACTGAACTAGGCCTGCAGTCCTTTTTATTGATTGACTGATTGACATGAGGTCTTGCTGTGTTGCTTAGGCTGTTTTCAGACTTCTGGCTCAAATGACCATCCTGCCTCAGCCTCCAAGGACTACAAGATGTACACTATAGGTGTGCCTGGCTTTGTTATTTTTATTACTGGAGTACTTTTAGCCAGTGTTTACCTGACTGCTTCCCTGGGCTGTGAGCTGCCCTATTCAGTCCCTGAAGGTGGAAGGCTGCTAGAAAACAGTTTAAGGGCGGACTTTAATGCATCTGTTAAATATTTGCAAATAATATCTCAGATGGACTGTTCCTATCCTGCCTTGAAGGATGAGAGGCATGCCTTTCTCTCCTATGGCTTCTATATGGAGAAGCAAATGAACAGAAAAGATGTTTTCCAATGTTTTGAATCCATCCATCCATCTGTCCGTCCATCAGTGTTTTCACCAAGATGGAGAATATAAGTAGAGAAAACTGAGTTTGGTTTTAAACTGGGGCTAGGATCAGTGTACCTGGCATCCCAGTTTGCACAGTGAGGCCCACCTCTGGCCGTGGAGAATGGTCATAGCATGGTCATCTGACTTAGGCTAAGCCACTGCACTGCTCTCTGGGATCCTGGGGTAGAGGCAGGGACTCTAGTACAGCAGTACCTGACTGTTCTCTTGAACTGCAGCGCTCCATGCTCCAGGGACGGAGCTCATGGCCCACTTCACAGAGCGTGTGGGGGCCTGGGAAGCCCTGCCTAGGACAGAAGACCCGAGCCCTTCAGAGAAGGCTTCCTGGGGTACTGGAAGCCCTGCAAGCTCTGGGTGGGCTTCCCCGCTTAGCTCTCCCTGCAGTTCAGTCCACAAAAACAAACAAACAAACAAACCCCTCCCTGACCCTAGGGTCTTCCTGTTGCCTACCCTGGGCAGAAGTTTAAGGAATACAGAACAGTGGCTTCAAAGGGAGAAATTAACGGGAGACCTTTGTGTTTATATCATAAGAGGAAAGAACCAAATGTATTTATTCATTCTCAATACCAAAAGCTGATCAGTGGCTTCCTTGTTCGGATAGCTAACAGTTCTCAGCACCACCCTACAGCTGCATGTGGGTTCAACAGACTCTGGTGGCTGGCCTGGGAAGCGGATCCCCACTTATAACATTGTTTCTAAGGGAGACACATTCCAAGATCCAAACAATGAATTTGGTAAAGAATGTTTGGCGTCCAGGCGGATGAGCTGGCCGGGCTGTATCTCAGGGGTGGCAGTGCATTAACAGGCTGCTTTCTGTTTGGCGAGGAGGCAGACTCTGCAGGGTGGGAGTAAGTGGTTGGGAGTGGGTAGAATCTCAATAAGAGGATAGGGAACTGCAGCCGGGGTACTCCCCCCCTCCCCTCTGTGCACCAGAGGACCCCGGAGGTTCAAGGTTGCATGGGAAGCGTGTGTGTGTGTGTGTGTGTGTGTGTGTGTGTGTGTGTGTGAGAGAGAGAGAGAGAGAGAGAGAGAGAGAGAGAGAGAGAGAGAGAAAGACAAAGAAACTTGGCCTCCTTCATATTGCCCTCACGTCCTTCAGCCTGCGAAATGGAAGGGCCTGCTTTGCCCCTGACCAGCCCAAACCCTTTTGGGAATGAGCCGGGGGTGGGGGTGGGGTACGACCCCCAAACCCATATAGCCTCTGCTGGGGAATCCGGGCGCTCTAGGTGGGCTCGCTGGGCAGCGTGACTGCTCCCTGGGAGTGGCTGTCACAGAGCCAGGCGAGCCGAGCTCGGAGAGGACAGTGGCCGCGGACAAGAGGAGACAACTCCACCCACACACCCCCGCCTCGCTCCTGCCCTCCTCGCCTCCCCCAGACTAGGAAAAGCGCTGGCAGCGGGCGCGGGGACCCTCGTGCTGAAAGGGGACGCGCAGCCACCGCATTGTTTAGGAGGGAGGAAAGATGCTCCGCCTCCGGAGGGAGGGGGAAGGGGAGGGGAGGAAGAAAGGCGAGGGGAGAGGGGCGGGGAGAGATGGAGAGCGAGAGAAAGAGGAGGAGAGAGGACGGTTCGACCCGGTAGGGCGGATAAAGGCAAAAAGGCGGGAGGGAGGAGCGGATGGGCAGAGGGGCGCGGGAGGGCGGGGCACGGACCCTCCGCCACCGGCCCTGCCTGTCTTGATTGAGCGCACCTCGGGGATCGCTGGCCCAGCCTGGGCCCGGCTTCGGTGTCCCCACTTCCCAACTCTACAGTGTCCGCGGCGCTCGCGGGGTGCAGCTGGCCCGGGGCGCAGGCAGGACGCGGGGCGCGGGCGCCGGCGCGGGATGCTGGGCGCAAGGTGCAGGGGGCCGCGCGGTCCTCTTCCTCACGTTCCCTCTCCTGGACCAAAGTTTTCCCGCGGTGACCGGTGCCCCGTGCGGGCCAGCGCCTCTGTCTTCTCCTGAGCGGGTTCCGTCTCTTCTCCCCCAGCCGCGGGGAGATCCCGGGCGTGCGGATGCCTTACGGGCCGCGTGGTCTCGGAGTCCCAGCGCGCCCGCCTGGCGGCCGAAGAAAGTTGCGCCTCGGAGCTTACCCTCGGCTCTGACCCTGGGGTTCCTCCTTCCTTCCGCGCCCAGGGTGGTGGCGGGAAGGTATCCGCGCCCCAGACACAGGGTCTCCGGGACTCCCTGGAGAGGCGGGGCCGAGCAGCTGGTGCAGAGATAGGCAGGCCGCAGCACCCCGGGGAGTGTCTGCCCCAATCCGCCCCTTTCCTCCTGGGGCGACGGACAGTACCGAGGTGGGTCGGAGGCCCCAGAGCCAAGTGAGGACGCAGGGGCCTGTGTCTTCCGGGCACTTCCCCGCTGCGCTACGGTCTCGGGCTTCCCCCGGAGCCCGGCTGAGGTCGCCAGGGACCTAGCTTTGAGCTCTCTTGCGCCTGAAAGAGGCAGGTGCCTTGGGCGGCAGGCCCTCTTCTGCATTTCCAGTGCTTACTTTGCGCTCAGCTCTGAGCGAGGAGAGACTTAGGGACAGCAGACAGTGACGGTGACTTGACAGGGAGGCAGAGGGTTCTGTTTCACATCTAGGGTGCTGTGTGAGTTCTGGACTGTCCACAGCACCTGCGCGCCGCGGGAACAAGCTGAGCGCCAGCCTTCTCAACGCGCTATATGCACTTTATTCCCAGGAGGCTGGAGCCCAGGGGACAAGAACACATTGGCAGAGGCCGCTTCCACAGCCGCAGAGGTTATAGTAAGTACCTTACGTGTGATGAATGGATTTGTGAAAGAATGCACTGACAACAATTTGTCACAGGCAGACTCGGTTCCAGCCACAGTTGGTCCTGGTACAATGACAGGAAAGAAACTCGGTCCCTATAAACAGTCAAGAGACCCAGCCGGGGCCTTCTTTCCAAAGCCCGGTGAGTAAAGAGTCTGAAACTTTTCTCGCAGGTGACCTGACGGTTGAACAAACCCTGGCTAAGATACACTGGGTTGGGGAAGTGTGCCGTGCTGGGCTCCTGGGGGTACAGAGACCCTGGAGTAGGGCCAAGAGTGTGGCTGTTTTCTCCTCTGGACAGGGCGGTGCAGAGGGTCTCCAAGGAAGGCTGAGCTTGACAAGTGGGGTCGTTTTGGACGCAGAGGTTCTTCTTGCCCTGGGGGAAGGTGTGGGCCGAACCTGGGCACATGGGGATGTGGGCTGGTACAGTCTGGGATTCTTCATGCTGAGGAGTGAGACTACTCCTCCTTTAGTAAATGAAGAGCAGAGGTAGAGAACTGGGGAAACAGGATAAAGTTTGGGGTACAGCTAGACATATCTATCCCAAGGACTCCACCACCCTCCTCTTTATACTGCTGAAGCCCCATTATAATGATGACAGGCGACTTTGAGGAGCCCACTGAGAGGAGGCCTGGGAAGGTGGTCGTCCCCCCCTGGCTGGAACGTTGCTGTACCTGTACCCCTGTGTCTCCAGCTAGCATCAGCTTCACCTTGCTTCCGTGTTCTCCCTTCACCCCTGGGGCTCTGCAGTCCGCCTGTCTGTGTGGCTGTGGAGCTTCAGTTTGGAGGTCCAGGCCTGCTCCCTGGGTTTGCACAACCCCGGGAGCCAGTAGGAGTGGCAGAGGACTCCACACTGAGTTTCAGTTTCAGCTCTTTTCTTTACCCTGTGGTGCCCTGGCCATGTGAGGCGTCTTCAAGAGCTTGGCTTTGATTCCTCAGCCCATGTTCTGTGCCCAGAGCCCTCAGACTTCTCATCCACTCTGGCCCTGGAGGCTGGATGGAGAGCTGTCTCTGGTTGAGCAACTTAGCTCCTCAGCTGGCTCAGAGGGCAAGGCTGTGGGGCTGGAGAGAAAGGGGACCTGTCATTAAGGCAGAAAAGAACCTGGGCTTGATTATACTTTCAGTCCTCTTCAGGATATTGTGGCAGGAAGTGTCCTCACTGTCTGGGACATGGGGATGTAAAGGCAGGGCCATGTTGCCCAGAGAGTTTAAGAAGAGGCTGGGATATGCACTGGGTGTCACCAGCTTGTGACATATGGTGCTAGGAATGAACAGTGTCCAGTCTCTGTCCTCAAGTTGTGGCTGTTGAGAGCTTGCCCAGCTGGGTTTATAAACCTAGGGCAGCAGACCCTCCTGGGACCTCCTACTCTGCCTGCCACTCTTCACAATATGGTCCAGTTATTTATCCCATGTCCTATTTAAATACCTCTTTGCCTCCCAGAAGAATTTTTACAAGATCTTAAAGTGAGGTAAGCTCCCACAGGCCTGTGATTGCTAGTTTTGTTTATTTGGCCTGCTTGTATGTTCCCATGGAGGAAGCAACCTTGGGAGGGTGTGGGTCAGTGGGTGAGGCAGGAGGTATAGTAAACAGGGACATCCTTAGACTCAACAGGCTGAGCCCCCAGTGGGTCATTCTTCATGGTCCCTGGGATGGCAGACTCTGAGCCTGTAATCAAAAGCTGATGTAGCTGTTTGGGATAACAGCCAGGGGCTGCAGGACTCTGCCTGAGGCAGCTGTGGCTGAACCAGAAAGGGAAATCTTTCTCAGAGGACAGAGACCTGGAAGGGGCCCTGCTGAGGGATGGGCAGAGTGACTTAGAAGGGCTTCTCCTTTTCCTGCTGTTGATAACTTGGCAGACAGATTCTTGGCTATCTTTGGACATGCCAACCCCAAGTGATTTAGCCAAGTAGGCTCGTTTCATTGACATGGTGTTTTACCCACGGCTCACTCAGTTGTGTCTTCATGGTTAGTTCTTATAGCTGTTAAGTGTGATGAAAGAGTATTGGCTTGGAGTCTGACCTTCACTCTAACCTTTGCTAGTGGCAGGATATGGGGTAATGTAATAAACACAATCAGTGTCCTGCTTGCATTCTCTTGGCCTTCACTAGTGGTGACAAATACCCCAGCTCCCTCGCCTCTCTGTGGGGATCACTTTGTGACATGCTCTGTGCTGTCTCTAAAGTTCCTTAGCAGGGCCAAGTCCCAGGTGCTCATAGCAGGTGCTCACTCCCTTCATTGGCTCTCTTCCCTTTCCTGTCTCCTCACCCATTCCTCTTGCACTCACACTTGAATACTTGTCTCAGGGTCTACTTCGGGCTGAAGCCAACCTAAGACAAGCTTTATTCTAGAGTTATAAACTCCCTTAAAGCCTCAATTTCCCCAAGAGTCCATTGCATCCTCCTTCCGTCTACTTAACAAAATCTTTAACAACAAAACACCTTTCCAGTGTCCACATTTGTGATATCTACCATTGGGCTCCCTACACTGGGCCATCCTAGATTCTTTCCTGGTGGACCAGGGAATGCAGGAGACATTAACCCAGTATAATTCTGGCCTTCTTCTCTTCCAGTTTTATTTTCTAGTACAGGTAAGGTGTATGCCCAGAGAAGGCCTGGGAGGAGAGTTGGGAAGAGGCTGGTTTCTTATGGAAAGGACCTTTTGAACAACTGTGAAATTTCATAGAAACCCGTGTAGAATCCATGCAAAGCCCATATATAGAGAAATTTTTAAAAAACAGAATTCGATAACCCTGGTGTAGGTTTTCCCTTACTGCTCTGCTGATAATCCTCCCAAGGGTATCCCTGACTCAGACATTCCACCCATAGGAATTCTTATCCTAAGGCTATAATTGGACATGTGTACAGGGATGTCCCTTGCAGCATTATTCTTAATAATGGTAACAACATCACAAACAAAAAGTGGAGACTAAATGTCCTACAATCATAAATTAATTTTGGTATATCTATATATTGAAATGCCTTCATGTAGCTTCGAAAATAAAGGATGCAGATATATGTCTGTAAACATGGAAACGTATTTCTAAGAAGCAGGTTACCAAACAGTGTGTTATATTTATAAAATATTTCATCCATTTATATTTGTATCTAGAAGGATCTATGGCAGAATGTTAATGTATGGTGATTGGCTGGTGGAATTTTAGGAGATTTTGATTTCCATCTTTTTTTTTTTGGTACCGGGGACCGAACTCAGGACCTTGGGCTTGTGAGGCAGGTGGCGAAACCACTGAGCTAAATCCCCGGCCCTGATTTCCATCATTTTGTTTTCATATGTAACCTTCTAAAATTATTTATTGTGGTAAAATATATATCATAAAATTTACCTTTTTAACTATTTTTTTTGGTACTGGGGATCGAGCTTGGGACCTTGCTCTTGCAAGGCAGGTGCTGGAACCACTGAGCTAATCCCTGGTCCCTTTTTAACTATTTTTAAGTGTCCAATTCCACCGCATGAGTATATTCACAATCTTGTGAATCATTATCATTTCCAAAACTTCCCTATCATCCCAAACAGAAATGCTGTACTCACTGGACAAGAATCTCCTTTCTCTTCTCTCCCAAATGTTGGTAACTTTTATTCTACTTATTGTCTTTATGAATTTGCCTATTCTAAATATATACGTGGAATTTATTTTGGCCTGTCTGTATTTTTAAAATAAAACATAAAAAGACTTCCTATAGTTATGTAATAGAAGAGAAAGCAAAGTCCTGGGAGAGAGATGTGCTCTTTGGCCTCTGGCGGTTCTGAAGAGCCCTGGCCATCTTCCTGCCCTGGCTCAGGTGTCAGGGTTCCGCTTCATCCCCACCTGGCAGGACAGACTCGGGTGGCCTGGGCTGAGGAATGTAGCCCTGCTGCTGGGAGCTGATCATGACTTCGACTTGCTGGTTACTGGTGGCTGGGCCTTAGGCCCAGGCCCCTGCTGCTGAATCATGTGGTGGTGGGCTTGGGAGGGTGACTTGTGTTTCATCATTCCTCCTCTGACCCAGCAGCTGGTCTGCTGTGAGTCAGTGACATCTAACCAAATGAATGTGTGATCACTGAGATTTGCTCCCAAGAAGACTGAGAAAGCCTCACCTTTTCTATCGGAAGCATCTCTTGTGTGTCCCAAACCAGACCTGCTCTGTGCCCACATGGTGCCATGGGTGTGGCCATTGAATGCTTTGTTTACACTGTGGCCTGGGGTGCAAGGAGGACTTTAGCTGGTGGTCCCAAGTACTCCAGAGAGATGATCAGTAGCCTCAGATAATTGGTACCCCCTTCCCAAGGCTCCACGTAGGATCTTCCACTTGAGGGGAGGACTGCGTGCTGGGTGCAAGGTGAGTGGGGCCAGAACTAGGGTGTGGTGCTGGTGGGGAGTAAGCATTTCAGGTCTCCACTGAGTCGGAAGGTGGTCAGGGAGCTGTGGGCCACAGCACTGGGATTCAGGGCTGGATTCAGGGCTCAGGGGATGGGCCCAGCGGCTTTTCTGCTGAAGCTCTGTGTTGTGCAGAGGCATTCAGTTCCTCCCTACCAGAGCACCAGGGTGCTGGTCAGAGTGAGGCTGGGGAGGGCTCGAGGGAGGGCTCTGCATTTTGCTCTGTCCAGGGGGTGGCTACCCTTTTAATCCCAGACAGTCGAGGAAGTGTAAAAAAAGCTTCTCCATAAACACAGCCACTGAGGGTCATATAGGAGGAGTTCTGTTTTTTAATGGCTGATTTTCCTGTAGGGTTTGTCAGCTGGTCAGGGGACAGGCCAAGGAGGGTGTGAATATGATACTGTGGAAAGCTTCCCCTCAGCCTCCCCGAGGCCTATGGAAAGCCCCTCTCTGACTCAGGAAGAATGGGAGAGCCATGTGTGGGGGTGAATTTCCCCCACACACTTTGTTGGGCATGTCGACGGGTTAAAGAGAGGTGGACACAATGCCCCATGATGGCTGTCACCCCGAGGGCACAGGGCATGCTGGGTTCTTCTTGTT